CATATATACTATGTCTGTACATATGACACCGCGCCGAAAAAGTTTTTCTGGTGGTAGGAGAATAATACACCATTTTGCATGTCTGCCGAGTCCGGCCTTCAGCTCCTCCGTGCACTTATTGGCTCAGACATTTTTCTTAATTACGCGATAATAATTACGGATTTTGTAAAATGGTATATAACTTTTCTTCTCAGTTTGACCCAATCTACTAGAGTTGTCCAAATCGAATCCGACACACTGTATAAAGCTTCGCAAATCTATATCATTTTAAGACATTAATAAATCAAATTATTAAGGGAAACAAAACGGTTTCGAAAACACAAGTTTCACGATTAAGAAGATTCCAAGCTCTATTTGTGAAGAACAAAATCCAAGTGACTCGTGATTACTCGTAAGTATTTATCATAACTTATCAATAATGCAGAAGGGATGGTTTTGTCAACAAAATGAAATTGCAATTGTTTCAATTTCGAATGTTGCCTTTTCGAATGTTTCCTTCAATATACTTGTGTAGTACTGAATTGTCATATACGAGCTAGAGGTTATATTTTAATATTTTTAGTTTTTATCAATTGCAAATTTCATAACACTAATAAAAATTCTTTCAGAGGGCTAAATCTTGCGATATCAATACCGATATTAATATGGGCTACAGCACTTTTGGTAATTGGTAGTGATCCAACGAACTTGAAGATCGGGATTGTTAACGATGAAGCTGGCAATTGCGACGGCAGTAACTTTGGCAATATTTGGAATGATGAAATCAGCTGCCACTTCAGCAACCTCAGTTGTAGATTCCTGAACAATTTTGACGACTCCATTGCGACACAGGTGTAACAATTTAAAAATTAATCATGTAACATAGTTATTTAATACTATGCTTATGTTTGGGGTCGCCCGTCGCTGGCGCTCGCTGCCGCGCTCGTCGCCCTCGCCGCGCTCCCCGCCGCGCCGAGGTTTTTTCCCACCACGGTGTATCTCGCGCGTCGCTCCACCTCCCGTTCATCGATAGATCTTCTTAAATGCCTTCCGAGTCCGGCCTACCGTCTCCTGCATCCTCATTCGCTCGAAACGTGTAAATTAATTACTCGATAACTATTGTTGCTTTTGTACCGCGGCACATGACATTTCTCCTTAGTTTAACCCAATCTACCACTTTTTTCAAGTTGGCTACTTTTGCATCAGACAGCCTGTATATTAAAGTAGGGTCAAATAAGCTTGCAAAATGCCTATATACTCAGTGCGCATGTGGACGCTCTCTATTGCCCTTACCACACATGCAAGACGAACTTTATGTTTCAATCACAAGAGCTCACTGTATCGTTTCGCACGGGTAGGCTTTCCACCAACGACTCCACTCGGCTAACGCACTGTTGCCGAGAGCAAATACAGAACAAAGCACACTCGAAAGTCCTAGGACTAGAAATGTCAATATACGAAAGACACGACACATAAATATAATGTAGCGTGTACGGATGTCTTTAATGTATATGATTAAAATAGCACTTTCTGTATTCTCGGTATCCATTTCTCTGTGACCTATTTATTCCGATACACATTGGAAAAATTTTATTCAATATAAATTAATAGGAACAGATTAATAATCATTAACACGTTTATTGATGATTCTCATTAACTACATTGTGTTTTCAGAAGTACTATAACAATATTTCAGAGGCGAAATATGATATTCAAAGAGGAGAACTTCATGGTATAATATATTTTCATCAAAATTTTTCTGAAGCTCTAAAAATACGAGTGGAACATGTTACTTTCGCGAAGGATTCCGATCTTCTTGTTAGTCAGATTCAAGTTTTCCGTGATATGGGCGGTACGTATATGTTGTACAGACCATTCCACAAATAGTTAAGAAATTTTTAATTTGTATATGTGTATGTATCTACATATGCACAAACACATGCGCGCGCGCGCGTACGTAGAAGAATGTTTTTAAATAGAAAGTTTTATTATTTAAAAAACTACATAAAAAGAGATTCAAAAGATTAAAACAATTGCACGTACTAAATATTTTGACACGAACAACATGTAAAATAATAAATTTGTTACAATTGTTTAAATTTATAATGACTTTTGTCACAGAAGTACCAATAGGACTTTTTCTAGAGAAGAATCTATTTGAATGGTTTTTGGACGTTTTCAAGACTATCATGAGTGACTGTAAATATTTGCCAAAATTAGCCACTCCGCCGATACGAGTCAGTATATTTTATAAATTTCAATTTTATAAGTAAATCACTTTCCCTTTTTCTTTCTCTCTCCCTATACCTCGCGTAACACTACGAAGAAAATTCAATTTTCTATCCTTTTCAGTTTGAAGATCCTATATATGGTACTACTGATTTAAAGTATATAGACTTCGCGATACCATCACTTCTATCAATGTAAGAAAAAGTCATGCCAACATAATAAATAAACTTAATTTACTAAATTACTTATAGTTTTGTAATATGTCTTTGCAGAATAGCCTTCATTTTGGGCAATACAGTCTCTTCCATCTTGATAATCACAGATCGAGAGGAGGGTGTCTGGAATCGAAGCTTAGTCCAAGGTATTAATTTTTTAATTACACTACGAAATAGACTTTACGATTATTTCTTTGCCTTTGTATATTTTATCACATTAATGTGAATATAAATACGTGATAGGGGTCAAACTAGAAGAAATTATTCTGTCTCACATTGTTGTTGAGAGCATCATCACAATTATCCATACCATTACGGCAATACTCATAGTCTTCCCTGTATGGGGTTTGGAATGTAAAGGATCGATATTCGTTATAATCTTCCTTCTCTTTCTCATCGAGTTTTGTGGAATGATGTGTGGTGAGTACTCCAATCTGTATATCAAAAAGCGTACAGCAGCAATTCGAAATCTAATGAAAATTACACTGATTGTTTGTATTAATGCATTTGCAGGTTTTGTTATATCTACCTATTGCACAACTTTTTTCGCGGCCGTATTCATTTCAACCGGAAGTTTATTACCGACGGTAATAATGACTGGTGAGACTTTACTCTATCTGTTTCTCGGAAATTACCTCTTACTTTAATTAGTTATTAAATTAATTCTAAATTTAGTTTTTTATTACGTAATGACATATATGTATACAGTATACCTAATCTACAGTAATATTTAAAATGTTTAAATAAAAAATATCAAAATTAACATGAACAATGTACAGCGGATAATTATCTTCTTACGTTAATCGAATTTTTATTAATATACAAATTTAACAAAATTATAGGATGTTTTTGGCCAACAGAGGGAATGCCGACAGGGCTTGACTGGATTAGCCACGTATGGCCAACTACATTGCCCTCCCAATCTTTCAGGGGAATCATTTACAAAAATTCTTCCATTTCTGATTCTGAAGATTATATTGGTTTTATAACAACATTAGGGTGGACAGTGCTATTCTTTGTTGTAACTATATTTGGTATGAAATTGAAATCGTAGTAATATTAGAAGTTTTTTGTCTACATTATATAAATACAGTCTTGAATTGTCTACAAACTGCAGTAGATAAATGTACAGAGTGAGCCTCTGAAAGTCTTATTGCTTTATGTGGTCAAGGAAATATATAATTATTCATATTGTTGCCAGTATATAATTAGCAAATGTATTTAATTTTATAGTTAAATTTTGTTTGATACGTCCTGACTTCTGGTATTTTAAATCCTTGAAAATGAACGCAATCCGGTGGTCGAAACGTTGGATGTAACCTATTAAATAAATAATTTACACCATCTGCCACTTGGGTAGTTGGTCGTCTAATAATCCTCTCCCCTACACTTTATAATTATTTTCTCCGTTTAAATAGGTGTGTAAGATATCGTTTGCTTCAAACGAATAAAAATTCATGAACTGAATTTCCATTTATTTAATTTAAATTAAAATTTTTCCCATTTGACATCCATATATATGTTATTTTCTCTTATCACCCTCCTTAACAAGAGGTATTTAATTGTTTCATCTTTAAGTTTTATTATGTCAATCTGTTGGTTTACTACATGTATGTATGTACATATATCGGGCTTTTCTTTTTGGGACTTGTTGTATTTGTAGACATTTTCGAAAACTGTTGGGATCCCTTCCTTTAGTAGTTGTGACATCTTCCCACCACTAATGGATTTATTATGATCCCTTCTTTCGTTCCCACTTTCATTGATTTCACGTTCCACGACTTTTCTGGGTTTCGTCTTTGTGAAGGATAATCTTGAAAAGTCTTGAAAGAATGACTAGATCGTTTCATTTTCGCCAAACACCAAAACTAAATTCGGGCACTAAATTGACAGCTGACCGGTAACGAAAGCATGCGGCGGAGTGCCGAAGCCGGCGACCGTGCGGCGTGCGGCGTGCACGCAGGGCTACCATCAACTAAAAATTACGTTGCGCGTGTGCCACATCTCAACTCTGTATATTATATAATATTTTCGAGATACAAATAAACAAAGATCGATTCGTAACATATTTAAACAATTAATTATAACGATTCCACATACTTTTTATCCAAAATTTGTTTATCTTGCGCAACTAAAAATTTGATATTTCGAAGTTGGCAGCCGTTAGAGGTGCCCGTGTATAAGCATAGGCGTTTCCCTCTTACCGCCTGCCCCGCAAGGACACTGAGCAACCTCCTTAAGAGGATCCCCCAAGGTCGAGGCCTTTGATGGTGTGCGCCATCTAAACACGAAACGCAGCATATACATGAGCACACGGACACACTACTACGATACATCACACCCAGACATAAACACG